AAGAGAGACCCAAGAGGGCCCACGACGGCCCAAACGGGTCGTCCTGTGAGGCTCACGGAACCCCCAAGACGGCCCAAGAGGCCCCAAAGCCGGCCCAGGAGGCCCCCAAGACGGCCTCAGGAAGGCCCAAGAGTGCCTCGTTCGAAATCATGTTCCCAGAAGCCTCTCCGGGAACATGATTTCCGGGTTTCTAGGACGCCCAAGAGGGCCCCAGGACGGCCCCAAAAGGGCCCTAAAAGGACCTTCAAAAAGGCCCGGATGGCCACAGTTCGTTGATTTGCGTGAGATGTTGTTGGATTTCTTCCGCGCGGAGGAGACGGAGAGGGCGAGGAGGAGGAGGAGGAGGAGGAGGAAGAGGAGAAGGAGGAGGAGGCAGGGAGGAGGAGTGGAGGGGAGGAGGGGGGGAGAGAGGAGGAGGCTCGAGGGCGATCGACGATCGGCGACGACGACCGGCGACGGTGATTGACGACGACGACGACGACGACGACGACGACGACGACGACGACGACGATCGACGACGGTCGACGACCGACGACGACGACGATCGACGACGATGACAATTGTCGACGGCGCCGATCGACGATCGACGGAGACGACGACGGCCACGCCGACCGCGGCGACGCTGCCCGCGTGACAGCCCAAGAGGCGCACAAGACAGCCCCATCGAGGCCCCAGAGGGCCCCAAGACGTCCAAGAGCGCCTCAAGAGGGCCCGAGATGGGTTGAAGATGGCCGAAGAGGGCCCCAAGAGGGCCTTCAAGAGGCACAACTTTACCCATTCCTCGTGTAAAACGTACAATTTCAGCATACTCGCTTGCTTCGTCCTCAGAGTGGCCCCCGAGGAGCCCCAAGACAGCCCAAGACGGCCCCAAAGGCCCCAACGCCGGCCCAGGAGGCCCCCAAGACGGCCTCAGGGAGGCCCAAGAGGGCCTCGTTCGAAATCGTGTTCCCAGAATTTTCTCCGGGAGCATGATTTCCGGGTTCCCAGGACGCCCAAGAGGGCCCCAGGACGGCCCCCAAAAGGGCTTAAAATGATTCATAAATTTCCAGAGGGCCACAGTTCGCTGATTGTCGCGAAATGTTGTTGGATTTCTTCCACGCGGAGGAGACGGAGAGGGCGGAGGAGGAGGAGGAGGAGGAGGAGGAGGAGGAGGGGGAGGAGGAAGAGGAAAAGGAGAAGGACGAGGCGGGGAGGAGGTGTGGAGGGGAGGAAGGGGGAAGAGAGGAGGAGGAGGCTCGAGGGCGATCGACGATCGGAGACGACGACCAGCGACGGTGATTCACGACGACGACGACGACCACGACGACGACCGACGACGATCGACGACGATGACATCAGTCGACGCCGCCGATCGATGATCGACGGCGACGGCGACGACGACGGCCACGCCGACGGCGGCGACGCTGTCCGACAGCCTCAGCGAGGCCCAAGAGGGCCCCAAGACGTCAATGAGCGCCTCAAGAGGGCCCGGGATTGTTTGAAGCTGGCCGAAGAGGGCCTTCAAGAGGCAAAAATCGGCCCATTCCCGTTGTACAGCGTACGTTTTCAGCATACTTGCTTGCTTGGTCCTCGCAGTGCCCCAGACGCCCCCGAGCCCCAAGACAGCCCAAAAGAGACCCAAGATGGCCCAAGACGGCCCAAAATGGTCGTCCTGTGAGGCTCACGGACCCCCCAAGACGGCCCAAGAGGCCCCAAAATTGGCCCAGGAGGCTCCCAACACGGCCTCAGGGAGGCCCAAGAGGGCCTCGTTCGAAATCAGATTCCCAGCAGCCTCTCTGGGAACATGATTTCCTGGTTCCCAGGACACCCAAGAGGGCCCTAAGGCGGCCCCAAAAGGCCCTAAATGGACGTCAGAAAAGGCCCGGAGGGCCATAGTTCGTTGATTTGCGCGAGATGTTGCTAGATTTCTTCCGCGCGGAGGAGACGGAGAGGGCGAAGGAGGAGGAGGAGGAGAAGGAAGAGGAGAAGGAGGAGGAGGCGGGGAGGAGGAGTGGAGGGGAGGAGGGGGGGAGAGAGGAGGAGGCTCGAGGGCGATCGACGATCGGAGACGACGACCGGCGACGGTTATTGACGACGACGACGACGACGACGACGACGACGACGACGACGACGACGACGACGACGACGACGACGACGACGGTCGACGACCGACAACGACGACGATAGAAGACGATGACAACAGTCGACGTGTCGACGTCGCCGACCGACGAACGACGGCGACGACGACGACGGCCACGCCGACCGCGGCGACGCTGTCCGCGTGCGCAGAGCCACCCTGGACCCAGTCTTTTCTGCATCGTTCGAAATCCTGTCCCCGGAAGCGTTTCCGGGAACATGATTTCAGGAGGAGGAGGAAGAGGAAGAGGAGGCAGATTGGGAGGAGGAGGAAGAGGAGGAGGAGGAGGAGAGGAGGATGAGTGGGCGGGAGGGCTCGGGGCCGATCGACGATCGGCGACGGTGATCGGCGACGGTGATTGACGATGACGACGACGGTCGTCGACGGCGACGACCGACGACGACGACGACGACGACGACGACGACGATGGACGACGATGACAACAGTTGATGCCGCCGATCGGCGAACGGCGACGACGACGACGTCTTCACAGTGCCACCCCGAGGGGCCCCAAGACGGCCCAAGAGGGACCCAAAATAACCCATGATAGCTACAAGCCAGCCCAAGAGAGCCCCCAAAGGCACCCAACAGAGCCACAACGGGGGCAAGCAGAGCTGCCCTCGGGAGGCCTCTTCCGCAGCGTCCGAAATCATGTTCCCCGAAGCCTCCATCGGAACATGATTTCGGGTTTCCCAGGGCGCCCAAGGGACCCTAAGACGGCCCCGACAAGTCCTAGAAGGACGCTCGAAAAAACCCGGAGGGACACAGTTCGCTGATTTCCGCGACATGTTGGATTTCTTGCGCGCGGAGGCGGTGGAGGAGGAGGAGGAGGAAGAGGAAAGGAGGAAGAGGAAATGGACGAGGAGGAGGAGGAGGAGGCAGAGGAGGACGAGGGGGGGAGGAGGAGGGTGGAGAGAGAAGGGGGCGGGGGGGGGAGGAGGGAAGAGGGATGATGATGACGATGATGATGCTGATGATAATGATGATGATGATGGTGATGATGGTGATGAGGACGAGGAGGGGGAGGAGGAGGAGGAGAGGAGGAGAGGAAGAGAGGAGGCGGACGAGGAGGAGAGGCGGAGGAGGAGGAGGAGGGAGGGAGGAGGAGGGGGAGGGGGGGAGAGGAGGAGGAGGAGAAGGAGGAGCGGGGGAGGAGGAGGAGGAGGGGAGGAGGAGGAGGAGGAGAGGAGGAGGATAATGACGAGGAGGAGGAGGAGGAGGAGGAGGAGGAGGAGGAGGAGGAAGGGGCGGAAGAGGAGGAGGAGCAGGAGGGGGGGAGGAGGACGTGGAGGAAGAGGAGAAAGCGAGGCGGAAAAGCAAGCGGGAGGCCTCCCCCGAGTGTTCCCTTTTTTATCCGATGTGGCCAAATGCTAGCGCGGCGTCGCAGTGCCGTTCGGCGAGCCATGTAGTCTGAACAGGAGGAGGAGAAGGGGCAGGAGAAGGAGGAGTGAGAGGAGGAGGAGGGAAGGAGGAGGAGGAGGAGGACGAGGAGGAGGCGGAGGAGGAGGAGGAAGAGGAGGAGGAGGGAAGGAGGAGAGAGAGGAGGAGGAGGAACATGATGAAGATGATGATGATGATGGTGATGGTGATGGTGATGATGATGATGCTGATGATGCGGAGGAGGAGGAGAAGGAGGAGGAGGAGGAGGAGGAGGAGGAGGGGGAGGAGGAGGAGGAGGTGTGGAGGAGGAGGAGGAAGAGGATGGGGAGGAGGAGGAGGGAAAGTAGGAGGAGAAGGAGGAGGAGGCGGAGGAGGAAGAAGAGAAGAAGGATGAGGAGGAGGGAAAGGAGGAGGAGGGGAGGAAGGGGGCGCAGGAGGAGGAAGGGGGGACAAGGAGGGGACGATGGGGGGAGGAGGAAGAGTAGGAGGAGAGGAGGAAGAGCAGGGGGAAAGAGGAGGATGAGGAAGAGGTGCCGTTTTCGGCCGCCTCGGGCCGCCAGGGGGTGAGGAACGCCCAAAAGCTTGTCGAACCACGACCGCGAAACTCGACGAATAACCGAAGTGCATTCAGCCTTCAACCTCCTCGTCCGTTGTTTGGCCGTTGCCCCGGACGAAGCTAGAACCTAAGCGCGCGCGTAGCGCGCGCGTGGTTCTAGTATATATATATATATAAATGCACGTGGACATGCATAGGTGTATGTGTTTGTATATGTACATGTGTATGTATATTTTCAATGTGTACACTTGACTGTATGTATGTTTGTACTGATATATATATATATATATATATATATATGTATACCGATGCGCAGTTATCTCATACATACGCGTATGTACATATATACGTTTGTTCGTACATACTGTGGTCAAGAACGCTATACTATAGTATAAAGCAAGGCTGTATGTTAAGTTGCACTATCGGGTAACAGGTTGTGATTCACCATGATTTACCAGAGTTTATTGCCTTAAATCGTATTGTATCATACGATGATGCATCACCGGCTGATGCATTTCATTAACCTGATCGTAGTGTAATACATCATACGGCGTTCTACCATACGCAATAAAACTAGGCAATGATACATTGTACGTTGTCACGTGATACCGCTTTATATATAATTATGAGAAGCATCCTACAGTGTACTCCGTCATCGTATGTCATATCATAATGTATTCTACTTTGTTTTGTTAAAGCATATAAGTGTCTGTCATGTTCTACTGTTTGTTTCATGCTAGATGTTAATACAAGTATGTTTGATCAGCTGGTTGATTGAAGTACGGATGTATCATGATATGTATGAGTGTGTACATGTAGGTGTAAACTCACGTGAATCTATCTGACGGAATACAGCTTTTGCTGTATATACGTAAGTGATTTCCTTCCCCACACGAGAGAAGTTGGTCTCCATCCTGAATCTTTCTCCGCGGGAAGTGGTGCCGAGGCGATGTACCTGGACGTCGTGAGGCCCGGCGATGTTCCCAGGGGCGCGGTGCAGTACCCGAAGGAGCGCGTGCGCCAATGGTTCCCTCCGCAAGCTGGTGGCGTGGAGGAGGAAAGGCAGGGCGAACGGAGGAGGAGATGGAATGAGGCAAAGGGGGGAGTGCAGGAAGAGGGGGAGAAATGGGAGGAGGAGAAGGAGAGGGATGAGGGACAGGGAGGATACTGAGGAGAAGGTGGTTCAGTTAGAGAGGTGCGGGGGGAGGGAGCAGGGGAGGATAGGAAGGCTCATGAGGGGGACCAGGAGGGAAAGGGGAAGAGGGAGGAGGGAGGGGCAATGGAGGAAGAGGGAGCAGCAGCTGCAGCACCAGGACATTCAGGAAAGTTCAGGAAAGTTCAGGACGACGTGAGGAAGGAGGGAGGGTGATGAGGAGGATGAGGATGCAAATGGGGAGAAGGATGGCAGAATGATGATGATGAAGATGATGATGATGATGATGATGATGATGATGATGATGATGATGATGATGATGATGATGATGATGATGATGATGATGATGATGATGATGATGATGATGATGATGATGATGATGATGATGATGATGATGATGATGATGATGAGAGGAGATGAGGAGGAGGAGGAGGAACAGGAGGAGGAGGAGCAGGAGGACAGGGGAACGCGCACAGTCGTGGGAGGCATTCGTGCCGAGCCGCCTCATTTGGCCACGCGTGCGTAGCATCTCTCCCAGGGATCGCCGTAATGTGGAAGATGGGAGGAGGAGGAGGAGGAGGAGGGAGGAGGAGGAGGAGGAGGAGGAGGAGGAGGAGGAGGGGGAGGTGGAGGAGGAGGAGGAGGAGGCGGAAGTAGAAACGGAGGCGAAAGTGGAGGCGCAGGAAGAGGAGACGGATGAGGGTTACACGGGGTGTCTGAGCAGTCTGGAAGAGGAAGAGAGGACGACGATGAGGCGGAGGGTGAGTATCTCTTTGGTGCTTCTTCAGATTTCTTCAGCCAAGGGGCTCGTGTTCTTGACATACGTCATTGTGGCCACGCTTTTCTTCTGCAGGAGCAGTAGCCGAAGCAGGAGTGATGTTTGCGCTGTCGGAGAACCACGTTCGCTCAAGGTTGAAGAATCCATGCGGTTTCAGGAAACAATCCTTGGGTCGTCTACGTCACAAGCCGGACGACTCCGTCTACGACGACGGCATGCACAGGCTTCCAATCTTGATCTGATGGCCCACGACCGCGACGACGAGGAAAACGTAAAGACGAGGACGACGACGCCGACTCCGACGACGACGGCGACGAAGACAGAGACGACGACGACGACGACCACGACGTGGACGTCGACGACCACGACGTCGACAGCGACGACGACGACGACGACGACGACGACGACGACGGCGGCGGCGGCAGCGGCGGCGGCGGCGACTCCGACAGCAGCGACGACGACCACGACGACGACGACGAGACTACGACGACGGCGACGACGACGGCGACGACCGTGACGGCGCGCACAGGCCTTCGACCGCGCCCTGGCGGCCGACGACATCCCCCGGGCCGTGCCCACCCTGGCCCACGCGGCCGTGGGGTCGTGCATGCCGGTGCCCCAATGGGGCAGGGCCCGGTGCGGTTCGAGGTATTCGCTTCGATGTCTCGGTGGCCACATACCAGCCAACAGGAGGAGGAGGAGGAGGAGGAGAAGGAGCGAGGAGGGGGAGCAGGAGGAGGAGGAGGAGAAGGGAGGGAGGAGGAGGAGGAGGAGGAGGAGGAGGAGGAGGAGAGGAGGAGGAGGAGGAGGAGGAGCTAGGAGGAGCTAGGAGGAGCAGCCCTTGCCGGGCCCATCCTGGGCCCAGGGCTGGTGTGTGGACCTCCAGGCCTCGGCCGGGAGGGGCTGTGCACCAGTCCAGGGCCCAGGATGGGCCTGGCCAGGGGTGGTGGTGGTGTATTGTTCGGAGCTTTTCAGGCGTTCCTTTGCATGCACTTCGCTTTCGGCACCGCCTGATCCCGGTGCTTTGCCCTCTCTTGGCCTTGACGTGAGGCCCCGCCTTCTTGTTTCCTTCCTCTGTTAATTAAATCTGTGCGCGGCCCGCTTAGCTTCGACCGGAAGAGGCTCGCTCTCAACCCGCGAATCAAAAAGTTTGGAGCTCTTCTAACCCTATCCCCACCCCCCACGATTTCTAGGGTGGGGTGGGGTTCACTTCGTTCGGGAGCTCCCGAGCGGAGTGACCCCCCCCCCCCTTAAAAATCGTGTGGGGGGGGGTTCGGTCGGGGGAACGTAAGACTCGAGGAAGCCATGACTCGGGCTTGCCGACGTTTTTTTTGACGAGCGCGTCCTGGATTTCGACGGTTTGGTTTTTGTGGGATGTCTGCAGCGGGAGTTTGCGTCCAGCTTCAGCTTGGGTCTCGTCAGGCCAACTCGAGTCCCCCGCATCCGAGTCTTACGTCTCCCCGAACTTCGGTTCGATCGATCCGATTCGATATCCTCCTCGGACTCCTCCTCCTCCTCCTTCTCCTCCTCCTCCTCCTCCTCTTCCTCCTCCTCCTCCTCTTCCTCCTCCTCCTCCTGCTCCTCGGCCCCGATTCGGCTCCAGGACTCTGGCTGCCCGGGGCGGCCCGACGCCTGGCAGAGCTGGTCGGATTCGATCTTGGCCCCGTGCCGATGCAGCCCAACCCGAAGCACATTCCAGTTTGATCAAATTTTCCGAGTCGATGCTGATTGATCTTGCGTCGTCGGTCGAGTCGGAGGGAGTATAAGAGGAGGAGGAGGAGGAGGAGGAGGAGGAGGAGGAGGAGGAGGACAGGAGTAAACACAAGGTGTATCAGCGATGTTGCAGTACACCCTCCCGTCCTGAGTCCCCTCCTCACAGGTCCCTGCAAGCCTGCCTCGCCACTACTGCGAGCGCCACCCTGAAAGACCAGCATCCGATGGGCCTGCCATTCGGACCAGAATCTCGGCTTGAATCTCGCGAGCGCACGGGATGCGAAAAGGTGCGATCATACATGTAAGCGAGGCGCCCGGTCAAGCAGGGCTGCCCCCCCAGGGGTATGGTGGTTTCACACGCTGGCACTCCTGGCCATGGATTTCGAGGAAGCCTCCAGCGAGAGCCTGGGCGCCCCGTGAAGCGTGGACAGACTGAATGTTCTGTTGTTCTTGTATTTCTTGTCTGCTATGTCTCGGCGGCGTGCCCGGTGGGAAGTGAGAAGGAGAAGGCCTTCTTAGCAGGCGGTCGGACTTCTCCGAAGCCCTCGCGCCCTCTGAGAAGTTTGCTCTGTCTTCGGGGAAGGCTCATAAAACTTTTCAGAAAGCCTGGGGACTTCAGAAGGCGCGCTTGCCGCCAAATTTCTTGTTTGGTGCGTGCGAGAATCGTCGAGAAGCCTGGGTGTGAGAACTCTCAAGAGTGAGGCGTGCGAGAACCACCAGGAACGTGGGACCCGCGCGCGCAGCAGCCCGCGCAGGGCGCGCTCCGGCGCATGCTGCCTCTGAAGGGGCCCTGGGACACACAAACAAATACACACACAATTATTCACTGCGTGGAGCTCCCCATATGTGCATCTACTCGCATGGACCTGTCCGCCGTGAATGTCTAGGCGCAACAGCTTTCGAATATTAACGGGCTTCAGTTGTGACGGTCTGGACATCAATCTAATTGCGAATGAATTGGAGTGTGAATGAGCCTCAGTAGTACGAGCGCGTCTCTGTGCATGAGCCTGGGGCCTCCTGGGGCCTCCTGAAACCTACTGGGGCTTCCTGGGGTCTCCAGGAGCCTCTTGGGACCTCCTGGGACCTCCTAGGAAGGTTTCGTGCCCCAGGAGAGGCGCAATCTATAGCAACAGACGTACATAAAACATTGCGGATTAGAGCCACAGGAGAATGGCAATCTATAGGAACACGCGTAAAACACCAAGGACTCGTGCCCCAGGAGAGGCCCAAAATATAGGAACATGAGTAAAACATTTAGGATTGTGTACACAGGAGAAGGACCATCTATAGAAACATACGTAGAACATCAAAGAATCGTGCTCCAGGTGAGGCCCAATCGATAGGAGCATACGTAAAACACATGGGATTGGAGCCACTCCTGTTGCCTTCTGAGGCCTCCTGCTCCTGGGGCCTCTCGGGGCCTCCTGTTGCCTTCCGAGGCCTCCTGGCGCTTCCTGTTGCCTCCTGGGGCCTCCTGTGGTTTCCTGAGGCCTTCTGGAGCTTCCTGGGGCCTCCTGGAGCCTCTTGGGACATCCTGTGGCCTCTTGAGTCTTTCTGTGGCCTCCTGATGCCTCCTGGGACCTCATGTGGTCTCCTGGGGCCTCCTGGAGCCTGTTGGAGCCTCCTGTGGCATCCTGAGAAGAATCTGCGCCCACGAGCCTAGCCACCAAAACAAGCAAACCGATCGAGACATCCTCAAAATCTGGCCCACCTGGGGGGTGAAAATGAGCGCCTCGCTCGAGACATCCTCCAAATCTGCTCCGAAAGCGAAGGATGTTGAGCCCAGAAACAAGCAAACCGCCTGAGACATCCCCACAAAATGGCCGCGAACGAGCCCGTGCAACCACCCCTGGCGGCTCCCCTTAGGGCCACGAGCCTGGCCACCAAAACAAGCAAACCGATCGAGACATCCTCAAAATCTGGCCCACCTGGGGGGTGAAAATGAGCGCCTCGCTCGAGACATCCTCCAAATCTGCTCCGAAAGCGAAGGATGTTGGGCCCAGAAACAAGCAAACCGCCTGAGACATCCCCACAAAATGGCCGCGAACGAGCCCGTGCAAACACCCCTGGCGGCTCCCCTTAGGGGTGCTGAAACCAGCGCCCCGCCTGAGACATCCTCACAATCCGCTCTCCAAGCGAAGGATGTTGGGCCCAGAAACAAGCAAACCGCCTGAGACATCCCCACAAAATGGCCGCGAACGAGCCCGTGCAAACACCCCTGGCGGCTCCCCTTAGGGGTGCTGAAACCAGCGCCCGCCTGAGACATCCTCACAATCTGCTCTCCAAGCGAAGGATGTTGAGCCCAGAAACAAGCAAACTGGGTGTGAGTAAGTCTGTGTATGAGTAAGTCAGTGCATGAGCATGTCTGAGTGTGAGTAAGTCTGAGTATGAGTAGGTCTGAGTATGAGTAAGTCTGAGTATGAGTAAGTCTGTGTATGGGTAAGTCTGAGTATGAGCAAGTCTGAGTATGAGTAAGTCCGACAGGAGGGGAGGAGGAAAGAGGAGGAGGAAGGAGGAGAGGGAGTAGGAGGCGTCCAAGTAATAACAAGAACCCCATCTTAGGATATGGGGAAGCAACAGGACTCCCCATGTTTTCCGATATGTTCTTCTGGGTTGTTGTCTTCCGCCCCACTTCCCATATTTTCCCATCCCTCCTTCTCCTCCTCTTCCTCCTCCTCCTCCTCCTCCTCCTCCTCCTTTCCCTCCGACCGTAGCCATTTTGGCTCAAGGCCTTGGGGCGCCCGTCTCTCCCTTGCCCTCAGCCTCCCGCCCTGTTCAGGGGCGGAGGGGTGAACAGGATCGCCGCGCGCCGCGATCCCTCTCCCGCCTGGCATAGGCGACTGCGGCGGAGGCTGGCCAGCGCTAGCTAGGTCTTGGCCGAGGCTGAGGCGCGCAGCCTCCTCGCAGGACACCACGGCGACCACCCAGTGGGCGGCTTCATGGGCTCTCTCGGCGAAGCGGTCTGGGCGTGCAAGGCCACGAGGGTCCGCGGGTACAAGACGAGCTACCCGTCTCGCACGACTTGCTGGGGATGCGGTCGAGACCGAGACGGGATACCTTCCTCTGACAAGGGGAACCCGCAGGAGCCGCCGAGGCGACGCAGTCGGCAGCCTTCCCGTCCTCGTCCTCCTCCTGCTGTCCGTGGCGCTCCGTGGCACGAGGACAGCTATGGGAGACGGCACCGAGTCGGCCCCCCAGCCTCCCTCAGACGTGGTCAAGTGCAAGAAGGCTCTCGCCCAGATGCGGCGCCTGTACGACGACGACCACGGCATGGTCCAGCTGGCCCGCAGCGAGCTCGCGGCCGCCGAGACCAAGGCGCGCGCCAGCATGGCCCCCGACGACCTCCTTCGCATCGCCAAGGACCGCTACGTCGCGAAGGAGGCAGAGCGCGAGCAGCAGCAGCAGGCAGTCTCTGACATGGAGGTCAAGCTTGGCGACGCCAGGAAGCGCCTCGCCACCGTGGAGAGCGAGGTCGGGGTCATCAAGGCGGAGGTCTGCCATACCAAGGTCGCAGTCGCCGCAGCAGCGGCGGAGGCCACCCGTGGGCAGCAAGCGGCACCTGAAGCAGCCATGCTCCAGCTGCACCAGATGTTCGCGGTGGCGCAGCAGGCGGTGCAGGACGGCGGCGACAAGCAGGCGATCGCCAACCATTTCATGGACACCCTGACGCGCAGCTTGCGAACTACTCCGCCGCCAGCTTCACCCAGCCCAGCTCCTGCCCCAGCGCCCGCTGCAGCTGCAGGCGCAGCACCAGCAGCGGCAACAGTGCAGCCGCCTGGGCAGGCAGCACCTCTTCGCCCCCCACAGGGAGCAGACTCCATGGCGTGGGAGCTGGCAGGGACACACTAGAGTTCGAGGCAAACGTGGAGCGCGTCGGCAAGCACTTGGCTTTGTCACCTT